GCTTCAAGCTGCCTGGCTGCCGGCCGCCATCTTGGTTGGCAGTTAATTTGCATATCACCCTGATTAGCCAATGGGAAGGGTAGCGGAGGTACGGCTAATTACCATGTTTCTCTATTATTAGATAGGATATGTCTGTTTTGGCCTAGAACTTCTGATCATGTTTTATGTGAAAGAATGGAGTAGTTTTAGCGAATATACTTTAGGCAACTCTGAGACACAAAATAACTCAGTCAGCTGATTCTTACTGCACAAATTGAATTTAGTTTTCCCTTTAAAAAATAAGACTGGTGAAAACTGCTTTTTTTTTTTCTGGACTTAAAAAAAATGAGCTTTTTATTTGAGAACAGTTTTAGATTCACAGTAAAATTGCAAAGATAGGACAGAGAGTGTACCCCAAACCCAGTTTCCCCATTATTAACATCCTTCATTATTATGGTACATTTGTTGTAACATAATCTATATTTTTCACTTAATTTTTAAACCAGGCAACCCTAAATAGAGCATCATTTTTCATTGGCAGAATTCATCCGGGGCAAAATTCAGCATGTTGTGATTCTAAGTTGGATTCCATCCGTGAGAGTTTAATAAAGAGTTTAATAACTGAAGTTCCACGGGGACCTGGCAGAGAGTGATGAGAGGCGTGCGGGGCGGGGGCTGGAGGGCATGTGTGGGCTCAGGTCCTCAGACGAGGGAGCGCTAGGGCCCAGCAGCCCTCCACAAAGAGCTGAAACTTAGCAACTAGGGCTGGAGCCAGGCTGTGGCCTGCGGGGAGGTCAGAATGCACATTTCTTGTTACCATGACACCAGGTAGGGAGTTCAAGGGCCCATTGGGAACCCATTCCCCACCCCCACCCGCATTCCTCCCCTCCCATCACTCTTTCTGGCTGGGCAGCCTCTGAGCCCAGGGACAGCAGGCCCACTCTGCCTCCACTTCCTCCAACCTGGAGCCCACGTGTCTAATTTCCAAGCTCCTGTGACTCCAATGTGTTCTCTGCTTAAACACATACAGAGAGGCCAGCCTTTGAAATAAGGCCTCCAGTGAGTCCGGAAACCTTTCCAAGACAGAGACTGTTGTTCCTGCACCCAGGGTACCTCCTGGCGACCTGCCTCCTCCAGGGAGCCCTCCTGGATAGATGCACCCAGAAAAGGTCGTTTCCCACCTAGGAGCTGCACCGCTTCTATTCACCATCACACACCCCAGGCTGCAAAGTGTTCTTAAAATTATTTTTACCACTAAAAGAGGAAGTAGACTGCTTGCCATTTTGTCTCCTTAGGAGTAGGTCTGGAGGGCAGGGGCAGGGTCCTCCTCACACTGAGGCCAGCTCGGTGCTCCTGGCGGGAATCAGGCCAGCATGTGGAGCGGAAGAGAGGCTGCGCACTTCCTGAATTTGGTGGCCAGACAGTGAAATGAAACATATTTGTTTGGAATGGGACAGGAGGAGGCCAAGCTGATTTGCCCAAAAGACTGTATTTTAGAATATGCAGAAGTGGATGCAGTTTATTAATGTAGGTATAGTAGGAATCCCAGCGCTAACTAACGTGCCAAATAGGGCCCAGACAGGCCTGCGAGGGAGAGATGAAGCCAATGTGTAGGGCCACGTATTTTGCATGCTAATGAGTGCTGCTGATTTACAGGTCAACATGTTGGGTGTGGCTAAAGACTCGAGAGAGCACCCTGTACTGATCAGACTGACTCGCCCTGCAGTCTTTGTCACAGCCTCTCTTCCGCTCCACATGCTGGCCTGATTCCCGCCAGGATTCCCGGCATCCACTCGGGTGGCAAACTCCCCTTTGGAAGGTACATTTTCAAAGAGCGTCACACCTGGGTTATCTTGGCTCATTCAAATGATGAGGCGTCTCTCTATTGACAATCTAACCCAATAAAGTGTTTAAAACTTCTTTAAGAAACTGGCTGCAAACCCTTCCCGCCAGCCTTTTCCAAAGCAAGCAGACGGCTGTGAGTCCCCAGGCCGGGCCTGCTGTGCAGGGGGTGCACTAACCTTTCAGGCCGTGGTCCCCGTCGCCCTCGTGGTCCTGCAGCAGCGTGTAGCTCCCCTGAGAGGGGAGATCTTTCCTGTCCCCAAGCCCGTAGGTCCCGGCATGATCGTCCATCACGTTGAACTCCTGGCGGGGCTCAGTCATACTGGTGCAAGGCCCACCTGGGGAAGGAAGATGGGAGGTTGAGGCTGGGATGTTGAGATGAGGCTAAGTGCTTGGGGGGTGGTGTGTGTGTGTGTGTGTGCGCGCGCGCAGAGTGGGGGTCAGGGAGAGGAAAGTGCCACCTCCCTAGTTCATGGCAGACATATCCTCCCCTCCCCACTGACCTCCCCAGCAACCTCAGCCTGAGCTTTGCATCCCTGCCAAAGTGTTATTTACATGTATGTGCACCTTTAATTCCCAAACATCACATCAGTTCATGTTTGAAACACCAGGTGGACAGGTGCAGCGAGCCTGACTTGTTACGCCCAGCACTCGTTCAACTTCAGTAAGAAGTAAATGCTGCTGACTAGTTTAATGTTTTGTTGTTGGTTTTTTTGTTGTTGTTGGTTTTTTTTTTTTGCAGAGGGTAGGACCAAACAGGAGAAGGAAGGCGTCAGCAACACCCCTGGTAAGGACACTGAAGTAGAGAAAAGCACATGTTGTTCAACCTCATGCAACTAACTGCCCAGCAGAACCACCTCTTGATCAGTGTCCTGACTCCCCCAGTTCCGAGTTGGGTAGCCCCCCGCCCTGCCAGGAGGTCAAAGCTGTGGCCTCCACTCGCCTCACTGGCACTCACCAGGACCTCAGCTGTGCATTCTGAGGGCGGGCAGGGATCCCTAACAGCGCCTGGAGCGGGTGTGAGGCTCGGAGCAGCATGCACCCCCTTCCCTGCAAAAGCCCAACGGAGTGCGGTAGAAATATTTACTCAGACGCTGTTCTCATCTTCAGTGAGAATATTTCTTTATTTAAAAACTAGCTCATAGCTTTGAGTTTCTGGACTTTTCAATATGTCACTTTGCCCTGGTTCATTTATGCTACTTTGGGTTATTCCATCAGTTTCCATTTTTATCTCTGGAAGTTTTTAGTCCCTTGTCTTTTAATTTGATACCTCCCTTTATATAACCTAATTATCTCATAGTACTTATTCTTTACTTATTTTTGAAACTCCCCTGTCTTATTGGCTTTCAATTCCTCCCTTTAAACTTCTACATGTAGTTGCTTCCTTTTATTGTTTAAATTATTTTTACTTTTAATTTTCACCCCAGATTTATATTAGCTTTTCATTTATTAATGTTTTTATTTTTGAGATAATTTTAGACTTACAGGAGAGTTGTAAAAGTAGCCCCTCGGGTCATTTAGAAATTTTTACCTTTTGAAATTCCTTTTGAATATATTTCCCTATGTTATCTTTTATCATTCTATCCTTTTAGGCTGCTTTTTTCTTTCATTCTTTCCTTTTTATATTTGTGACTTTTATAATTTTTCATAGTCTAAATGTAGTCTTTAATTTTCCTTTATAATTTGTAACAGCTATCTCCTTATGTTTCTGTTTTCACTTGAACTTTTCTCAGTGACACACAGGCGCTGCCGAAGTGGGTCAGTTGTCCAGGGAAGAGCTGATAACACAAACTGGAGTGGGCGGGGCCTTTTTCTTTCCTGCCTCGAAGGCATCTAGCTCTCACTTTCGGTGATCAATTAATAACGTCTCCATGGGAAAGGGCTGGAGGACACACCTGATGACATGCGTCCTCTAAATGAGTTATGAGTTGCAGAATGTTTTAAACCCACAGTTTCATCTTCACAGGCGTTGGGCAACTCATACAAATGGTGAACTACAAGGTGGAGGGTGCACTTGGGGCAGACCCTCCATCTAATTTTTCCAAGACTGGCGTTAGTGGTGGGACAGCCAGCTTCCGGCTCCATGTTTATACCAGCTGGCCACTGGCACACTCATGTCCAGCTTCATTCCTCTCCCTTCTGGGCAGGACACGCTAGTGTGGGTGCCTGAGCTCTCTTCTCCATCCACGATGCAGGATAAGAAGCTGGTGAGAGCTGGGATGGTCTAGGAAGATTTTAAGAGTGAGGTCAAAACTGATGAACTGAGTGAATCCAGAGACAGAGAAGCATGGAACAGAATGCGGAATCTCAGAGGGAAGGCGGAGGAAGGTGGGAGGGTGGGAGGTAATCAACCAAAGACCTTGTATGCATATATGCATAACCCATGGGCACAGACAATAGGGTGCTGAAGGCCTGAGGTGGGGGGCGGGGGGCAGGGAGCGGGAGGAGGTCAATGGGGAAAAAGGGGGACATATGTAATACTTTCAACAATAAAGAATTATTTTAAAAAAACCCAAAAGAGTGAGGTTAGCAGGACCTCTGCTGGGCGAGGCAGAAGGTGGTGGCCTGGCCCCACGGAGGCAGCTCCTGCTTATAGAGAAGCGGGCGCCTTTTCATTCTGACTGAGGCCCGAGGCCCTTGCCCCTCAGAGCTCTCTGGGGAAAGGCATCTGAGACTGAGCTTCTCCAAACCTTGGACATGTCCCCAAGGACGAGCAGGACTCTATTTTGGGAAGATAAAAGTCCAAAGTCATCCTTTAAGGTTTAGGATTTGGTGGTGATATTCTCTACCCGTAGATATGCTGATGGTCTGTTTCCCTTGAAAGCCCCCAAACATAAGGACCCCTCTTCTGAAAGGCACCAGTTCCATTGTCTGAGGACTCAACTACGGCTTCCCACCCCTGTAGGAAGCAACGCCTTCCTCACTGCTTCCTGATGGAGCCTCTCTGAGGCCCTCCTGGGTTCACTGCCCAACTGCTCATCCCTGGGACTGGTCCACGAGCCACCTCATCTGGCTGACTTATCAGGTGCCCCACCCTGGAGGGGTGGAATCGGCCCAGAAGCTTGAGGCTTCCCATACTTGCCGGAGACACTCTACCTGGCCCAGGTGAGGTAGGCCAGCCAACTGAAGTTTTAGTGAACGCTCAGAAGTTTAAGGAGCCCCATGGTTTTGTCTTGCGATTGGATTGATTCCTTTCAATGACCAAGTCTGCCCTCCTGGAACATGGCGGATGAAGGTGTAAAAGTAAGGATCTGACGAGTTGGCTTCCTCTTTCATAAAATGCCCATTTCTATCCTTTGCTCCCTCCTCTGTTCAGGTCTCGGTGCTCGTTGTAATGACTTGAGTGAGCTCTTATTTTATGAATAACATTAACCTTTTATCCTATTTGTGACAGATCATTTCTTTAGTTGGTTGCCTTTTATCTTGGTTTCTTATGGCTCCTGATGGGCAGGTTTTAGTTTTTATGCAGTCAGGTCTATTTTCTTCTGTGATTTATCCCATTGCTCTATGATACATAAAGATCATCGATATTTTCTGCTATGTTTTTAGTGATCTAATTCTTTGTATTAAGTTTAACTGCAGTGGGAAAGCAGACATCCAATGGTACATATATGAATGAGCTGTGCTCCAATTAAACTTTATATGTGGACACATGATTTTGAAAGGCATATCATTTTCATGTGTCATGAACTTCCATTTTTCTGTCTCCCTCTCCCCCCAACCATTTGAAAAATGTAAATTCTCAGTGTGGCTGTTGCATTTGATGTTGGGTTTTGTTCATCTGCGTCTAGTGTTTCTAGTGTTTTCCATAAGGTTTCAAGTCACTCCTGGAGCTTCAGGCAGCAGCCCATTGCTCTGGGCCTGGGGACATGCTGCCTCGTTTGGGTCCACGGAGCAGATAAGAGGGTGGTTGTTCTCGGGGCCCTGGCTTCTGATGACCTCCCCCTCCCACCAGCACCACCCCGCAGGGCTGGAGAAAGTCAGATGCGCCAATAGGAAGCTGGATGAATTATAAGGGCTGCTGGAGAGATTAAATCATCCTTAAAAACACAGGCAGCTATTCACTATGCAAAATAAATGAACTGTGTGCTTCGCAAGGGCCAATATTTTTCTTTGGAAAAAAAGTGAAATGCATGGGAAGAACTCCTTAAGCAGGGAGGCTCACCATGCCACTTTCCTGCCAACCCCGGGCAGCAATGCCCTTAGGTTCCTGGATCTTCTGAATCAACAAGGCCGCAGCCCCGGAGCCTGGTACACAGTTGGTGCCACACGGTTCCTGTCAAAGAAGGAGCTTGCTCCGTGTGGGCACCTCACAGGCGTGTCACTGGACACACAGCAGTCCTGTGATGTAGCTAGTCTTCAGCATAGATATTAAGATTCCCAGTGGAGAGATGAGGAATCTGGGAAGGTCACACAGCCCAAGGTCACACAGCCAGCAGGAGACGAGGCCAGGATGCAAAGCCTGTGTCCTGATAGAACACGCACGGCCTGCTCTTCCATCCTGGACCATAAAATGTTCCCCAACTTCCTGTCGGGCACAGGGCTGGGTGCAGAAGGAGCATTGTCCAGGACTCTCACCCCGAAGCTGCGTGAACAAGTCACTTCTCTCAACCTTCTTCATCCACAAAATGCCACTCTTAGAAAGCCCCCAAACATAAGACCCCCTCTCCTGAAAGGCACCTGTTCCATTATCGGGGACCTCTGAGCTCCCTTTTCGCTCTGGCAATTTATTCTAAGTGGGACCGCTGGGCCTGTCCCCTCCAGCTCTGGAGCCCGAGGTCATTCACAGGACAGCAGGAGGTCTCTAGACCAGGCCTGGGGGAGAGGCAGGAGGCCCTGGCATCTCAGTCCTCCTCCTTCTTCCTCTCCTCCTCCCCCTCCGCCCTGACCCCTGCCATCTTCCTCCTTGAGAACCAGGGCAAGATGATTTCTCTGAAATAACTGGACAAAGAACATGTAAACCAACTGACCACTGGCACAGCGCAACCCCGGCCCGAAGACTTTCATGCAAAGACGGCAGGCGAAAAAACAGACTAGACGTGGTCATCACCTCCCAGACCCCTATAATCTAACGGAGACACACAGACGGGAAAATAAACACACCAAGAGACGTCTTCCTCTGTTTTCTTATTCTTCTAATCAACCAATCTCTCCACCCCCCCTTTTCCCTGTCCCTCTCCCCTTCTCTCTGATTTCCTACCTCCTGCTCCCCAGGCAGTGACTTAGAGGCGCAGGGTGGGAGGTAGGGAAGGAATTTCAGGAGAGGCACAGAAGTTGAACTAAACCTGGAAATGAAAAGGAGCCACTTTTTAGGGACCCTGGGAAAAGGACTGCATCC